CCGCTCTGAGACTCCCTTGGGTAGTGAAGGGTGGGGAATAAATCCAATCTCCTCCTCCTCCTCCTCCTCCTCCTCCTCTTCTCCTCCTCCTCTTTTCCTCCTCCTCCTCCTCCTCCTCCTCCTCCAGCCCCCCTGCTCAGTGCAGGATCAGCCTAGAGCATCCCTGACAAGGGTTTATCCAGCCGCTGCTTAAGGACTGCTCACCACCTCCCCAGGCAGCTGATCCCACTATGGCAGAACTCTGACTGTCAAAACGTTTTCCCTAAGAGCTAGCCCTTTGTTTAAACCCATTATTGGCGAGTCCTGTCCTCTGCTGCCAGCAGGAACAGCTCCCTGCGCTCCTCCTCTGAGGGACAGCCCTTCCAATGCCTCAAGACAGCAATAAAGTCCCCCCCCCTTTCTTTTATTTACTTCATTCATACCCGTCCTTTCCTCCCCAGTGGGGACTCAAAGCAGCTGGCATCTTTCTCCACTCCTCCATTTTGTCCTCACAGCAGCCCTGTGAGGTAGGTTAGGCTGAGTGTGTGTGGCTGGCCCAACGCCACCCAAGTGAGGGGATTCGAACCTGGGTCTCCCAGATCCAGTACTCTCGCCACGACACCATCTGTCAGATATTGGTTTTGCCATTGGGAGAGGCAGGCTGCTTAGGTTTTGTGGCTGTCCCATGCCTAAATGGGCCCCTTCAGAATTCTGACACGCAGTGGTGAGCGCAGCCCCAAAATGGCTGCCGTGGGAGGCAGAGCCAGCCCCAAAATGGCTGCCGCAGCTGGCCTTCAGCCATGTAGTGAAGATCCTTGAGCTGTGGCGGCAGCTGCTGCCCAAACAAGGCTTGTAGAATCTGCACAGCTAAGAAGAGGAGGAGTTTGGATTTACACCCCGCCCTTCACTACCCGAAGGAGTCTCAGAGCGGCTTACAAACTCCTCTCCCTTCCCCTCCCCACAGCAGACACCCTGTGAGGCAGGTGGGGCTGAGAGAGCTCTTGACAGAAACTGCTCAGTTCAGTTCAGTTAACCTTAATTGGCATAAACTGCTCTTTTCAAGAACACCTCTGGCAGAACTATGGTTTGCCCAAGGTCATCCAGCAGCTACGAGTGGAGGAGTGGGGAATCAAACCCAGTTCTCCCAGATTAGAGTCCATGCCCTTAACTAGTACACCAAACTGGCTCTCTAATCAAATCACCAGTAATCTATTGGAAGCCCTGATGGGCAAAAGCTCCACTTGGCCCAGACCACTTTCTAAAAAGATTTGGTGGGCACCAGGAAAGGTATTGGCAGGCACCGTGACACCCACAGCCCCAGTGTTGGAGAACCCTGGGCTGCGCTGTGGCTCTTGGATTTCCATAGTTACAGTGCTGATGGGACTTGAACTTGTTTAGTCTTCCCCCCCCTCATTATTTTTATTTTTCCTTTAAACATTAATTCATTTCGCTTACCCATATATCTTAATACCGAGAATCTTCCAGTACAAATCATAACCCTTCACCATTATTTAGACCGTTTACAAATTTTTAAACCAAATATATACTCGCGACCAATAATTATCAAACAAATTATCATTTTTACCTTGAATAATGAGAGTTAGTTTCTCCATTTCTGCAACTTCTAGTAATTTATAAATAAAATCTTCTTTTGTTGGTGTATTTTCATTTTTCCAAAATTTTGCATACAAAATCCTTGCAGCTGTCAATATTTTTATAATTAAATAAACATTTACTTTCTTAAATGAATCGGAAATGATATTAAGCAAAAAAAAAAAAAATTCCGGCCTTAACAAAATTTTCACTTCTAATGTATCCTCTATAACCCCTTTTATGACACTCCAGTATTTCTTTGCTTTTTTGCATAACCACCATATATGGAGAAAAGTACCTATATTTTGTTTGCATTTCCAGCAGTTTTTGGATAAATTCTTACTATATCTGTTTAGCCTATCTGGGGAAATATGCCATCTATAGAACATTTTTACGATGTTCCCTTTGAAATTGCTCGCCCGCACATATTGAACTTGTTTAGTCTTGAAGCCTCCTGCTCCTCGATGAGAGGTGTCGAGGCTCCCGCCCAGAGGTCATTTCATAGAAAAAGAGGTGCAGGAGTTCATTAGCATAACTCATTAGCATAACCTATTTGCATGTGCCACACCCCCTGACATCACTGGAAGTGTGTCAGAAGGCAGCACCGACCGCTCAGGCTCCACTGGACTGTTTTGGATTGCTAGCTATTTTGGGGTGGGGGGGATGTGCAGATCTGTCCTCGCAGAGGAGGGAGAGCTGGTACCTGAATAAAATTTGGTCTTAAAGGTGCCACTGGACTGCTGGGAGCAGGGGGTGGGGCTTGTTGCATGTGCCCGCCCCCTGGGCTCTTTACTGCCGGAGCTCCGCTCCTGTGCACTCCCGCAGGAGATGACCCCTGCTCCCGCCATCTCTGCTCCTCTGACTCTTCGCGCGCTTCCCTCGGCAGATGGTGAGCGTCTACCAAGAGCACCAGCACTCCTGTTTCCTCTACCTGGGCAGCATCCTGGTGGACGAGTACGGGATGGAGGAGGGCTGCCGGCAAGGGCTCCTCGACATGCTGCAGGTAGGTCTGCCCCCTCAGGGTGTGGCCCTGCCTCCTGCCGCCACTCGGGGGGGGGGTCAGTTTGGGCGTTCCAGCAGGCGGTGCCAAGGTGGCCTTAGGAAGCATGGACCAACGTGCTTGTTTGTTAGAAGGTATTTGCCAGGGTTCTCTCCCCCCCCCCCCCCCCCGGACTCAAACGATGGGCGATTCTGCATCTAGCATTTGCTCCGCATTGTCTCAACGGGGAGGAAAAGGTGCAGCTCAAAACCACATTCAAATACCTTCGGGGCAGTGTGGTACTGCCTGCAAAGTCACATCTGCAAAGTCACATAAATCTAAGAAGAAGAAGAAGAGAAGAGACTGTATGTATATCCTGCCCTTCACTTGGAGTCCCAGAGCAGCTTACTATCTCCTTCCCTTCCTCTCCCCCCAACAGGCACCCTGTGAGGGAGGTGGGGCTGAGAGAGCTCTTTCGAGAACTGCTCTTGATAGAACAGCTCTGACAGAATTTGTGGCTCACCCGAGGTCACCCAGCTGGCTGCATGTGGAGGAGTGGGGAATCAAAACCCAGTTCTCCCAGATTAGAGTCCATCCTCCTAACCACTACACCAAACCGGTTCTCCAAAGTTTAGTGTAGTAGTTAAGTGCACGGACTCTAATCTGGGAGAACCGGGTTTGATTCCCCACTCCTCCGCTTGCAGCTGCTGGATGACCTTGGGCAAGCCGTAGTTCTGTCAGAGCTGTTCTCTCGAGGACAGTTCTTGAAAGAGCTCTCTCAGCCCCACCTCCCTCACAGGGTGCCTGTTGTGGGGAGGGGAAGGGAAAGGAGTTTGTGAGCCGCTCTGAGACTCCCAAGTGAAGGGCGGGGTATAGTAAATCCAGTCTCCTCCTTCTCCTCCTGTGGAAGATGGGGAGCCAGGCAGTGAGGGCTGTAATCAGTGTTCCCTCTAAGCTGAGTTGGTGTGAGGTAGCTCACAGTTTTTTAGCTTCCGGCTCACACACTTTTGTCTTAGCTCAGGGAGGATGGCTCCAGAGCAAACTAATTTATGCAGCAACCAAATCACTGGCTCACCACTTTAATGCCGGTAGTTCACAAAGTAGAATTTTTGCTCACAAGACTCCCAATCTTAGAGGAAGCATTGGCTGTAATGAGACAAGGCAAGAGAAAGAATGGTGGGCTAAGACAGCTTTAAAAGGGGATTAGATGGATTCATGGAGAAGAGATCTGTCGGGGAACCTCCATGTTCACAGCCAGTCAACCTGAAATCCAGCACTAGGAGGCAACATTAGGGGAAGGCCTCAGCCTCTGCACCCTTTCCATGGGCCCTCCAGAGGGCCACTGTGTGAGGCAGGAGGCTGAACTGGATGGACCCTCCCTGGTCTGATCCAGCAGGGCTCTTCTGAGGTTCTTAACAGGGGGAGGCCTCGGCCTCTCTGCCCTGTTGGTGGCCCTCCAGAGGAACTGACTGGCCCCTGTGTGAGATGGGATGCTGGACTGGATGCACTCTCACTGGTCTGATCCAGCAGGGCTCTTCTGAGGTTCTTAACAGGGGGAGGCCTCGGCCTCTCTGCCCTGTTGTTGGCCCTCCAGAGGAAATGGTTGGCCCCTGTGTGAGACAGGATGCTGGACTAGATGGACCACCAGTCTGATCCAGCAGGGCTTTTCTTATGGTCTCATCAGGGGAACGCCTCAGCCTCTCTGCCCTGTTGTTGGCCCTCCAGAGGAACTGACTGGCCCCTGTGTGAGATGGGATGCTGGACTGGATGCACTCTCACTGGTCTGATCCAGGAGGGCTCTTTTGATATTCTTACCCAGGGGAAGGCCTCAGACTCTCTGCCCTGTCGTTGGCCCTCTAAAGGAACTGGTTGTGGCCACTGTGTGTGAGACAGGATGCTGGACTGGATGGACTCTCACTGGTCTGATCCAGGAGGGCTCTTTTGATATTCTTACCCAGGGGAAGGCCTCAGACTCTCTGCCCTGTCGTTGGCCCTCTAAAGGAACTGGTTGTGGCCACTGTGTGTGAGACAGGATGCTGGACTGGATGGACTCTCACTGGTCTGATCCAGCAGGGCTCTTGTGTTCTTAAGCTGAGAAAGTGCTGTGTGAAGTTGGTTGCCCCCCACCCCTTTCAGGTTCTAGCATGTCTAGGTGTGACTGTGTCTTGTGTCCAGGTGCTTAATGCTCGCATCTGCCCCTCATCCTAGGCTCTGTGCGTCCCCACGTTTCGGCTCATTGAGCAACCAAATGGCCTCCAGAACCACCCGGACACTGTGGATGACCTCTTCCGGCTGGCAACCAGGTACGTGAGTCCTTGACCTGGCACGCCCCAGACTGGCGCGTAACAGACTCCTGCCGATCCTGCCCCAGTGGCTTTGCCTTCCCTTCGTGAGCCCCCCGGTAACCCGTTGGCCGCACCGAGAGGGAAGCTGACCTCGAGCCTGTCTTCTCTGCAAGGGACAGGATTCTCTGGTGGTGTTTTAAAGCAGGGGGTCCCCAACCTTTTGGAGCCCGTTGGGCACCTTTGGAATTCTGACACAGCGTGGAAACGGAGCCAGCCACAAAACAGCTGCCGCGACTGACCTTCGGTCACGCAGCAAAGATCCTGGTGCAGTGATGGCAGCTGCTGCCAAAGCAGCATTTTTAAAAAATGTACACAGCCCATCAGCTCTCTGGTGGCCAATGAGAAACCTTGCTGGGCCAAAGGCCCCATGTGGCCCCGCTGAGTTTCTAAAAACACACACCAGTGCACCCCTGGGCACCACACTGGCGACCCTTGCTCCACAGGCCAATATTTCTGGACCTATGGGGTAGGGCATTTGTCACGGCTCGGGGGGGGGGTCACCTGATGCTGCCACCACTCTGGTTTTAGGATCCCTTGAGAAGGCCCAGAGCACCCTTCCAAGACCTTCAGGCCTCCCTTGTTTGGCCGAATAATAGGCGTGAGGACCAGGCAGAGTAAACAACAAGGAAAAGGTTTATTTTTACAGGAGGTCAGCCCAATATGGGAAACAAACAAGGTGCAAGAACAGTATCAGTAAGGGGGCGAAAAGAAAAGAGACCAAATGCCCTGACGCGGCTAGACTCACAGTCCCCAGCTCACTGTCTCCAGTGGGCCTGAGTCTGCTCACCCTTCCTCTCGGGGTGAGGGTCTCTTCCCTGCAGCAGCCTTCCTTCTGGCTCTGCTCTCTTGGAAGGAAGAACAGCTCCTCTTCTGCGCCAGCTCTTTTATTACAAGTCCCCTTCCCCTGTGATTGGCTAAAATTGGCGCCAAAACCTCTCAGGGACTTCTGGGAGTTGTAGGCCTGGCCTCCTCCCACTGCTAGTCAGGCTCCTGGGCCTGCTGGGCCCTTGCTTGCACAGCCCAGATCACGACAGCAACATTTTTTAAAAAAATGTACACAGCCAATCAAATCTCCGGTGGCCAGTGAGAAACCTCGCTGGGCCAAAGGCCCCATGTGGCCCCACTTGCTAAACACTTGCTGGGCTCCAAGAAGGGCGTCGACACACACCAGCGCACCCCTGGGCACCATGTTTTATTTATTTATTTATTTATTTCTGGATTTCTATCCCGCACTCCCCGAAGGCTCAGGGCGGCTAACAACGAGGCACAAGTGCCAGAGTTAAAACAGATAAAACAGCCTAAAACAGTAGAACAATATAATACAACAACAAAGTGTCAGTGCTCCATTTATCGCAAGATGGGGTAGGTCTTAATCCAATGGCAATTGGTCCCGCAACCTGTCATCCCCTCTCCTTCCAGGGTCACCTCGCACCCAGATGGAACCACATATTGGTGGTAGTGGTGCGATACTGCATACATATCGGTGGTGGAATTGTAGTGGCGGCGGCTCCTACTCGAAAGCCTGGCGGAAGAGCTCCGTCTTACAGGCCCTGCGGAACTGAGAAAGGTCCCGCAGGGCCCGGACCTCCTCCGGGAGCTCCTTCCACCAGGTAGGAGCTGCCACCCTTGCTCTACAGGCCAGTATTTCTGGACCTTCGGGGGTAGGGCACTGCATCGCAGAGCTTAGGTGCCACCCCCCTCAAGACCCCGCTCTGCCCCCAGAGATCTTTTCCTCTAATTCAAGGAGACCCTGAGTACGGTTTCGTCAGGAGAACAGGTGTGGAGAACGGAGAGCCAGAACAGGGTCCGGGTGATGAAGCGTCCAGTGGTTGCAACTGGAATTGGGCCTGGCAGCCAACAGGATGCCAGCGTGGCCGGTGCTATCTGAGTCAGAGAGGTTCATTCTCCTGCCCCCCCTCCCCCCACGCAAGGCAGGCAGGCTGCGGCATCACGTGCGCGAAACGGGCTCTGACTTGGCACTCTCTGCTCAGGTTCATCCAGCGCAGCCCGATCACGTTGCTCCGCAGCCAGGTCGTCCTTCCCATCTTGCAGTGGGCCATTGCTGCCACCACCCTGGACCACCGCGATGCCAACTGCAGCGTCATGAAGTTCTTGCGCGACCTGGTCCACACGGGCGTGGCCAACGATGTGAGTGGGGGACTGGGGAAGGAGGGTCTGGGCATGTAGATACAGCAACGGGGGGGGGGAGCAGAAGGTGGATTTTACCTAGTTGGCCGCTAACAATCCCTATAGGTGGAAGGGAGCCTCCAGGTTCAGAGGCAGTATACCTTTGAATTACCAGGTGTGTGTATGTGTGTGTGTGGTGGGGACGGGCCTGCCTGCTTTCACACTGTGAGGCCCACCCACGTCTCTCTCTCTCCCCACCCCCCAGCACGAAGAGGACTTTGAGGCCCGAAAGGAGCTCATCGGGCAGGTGATGACCCAGCTGGGACAGCAGCTCGTGAACCAGCTCCTGCATACCAGCTGCTTCTGCCTGCCGCCTTACACCCTGCCCGACGTGGCCGAGGTGCTGTGGGAAATCATGCAGGTCGACAGGCCGGTAAGAGGGGGGGCTGGAGGCGGGAACTGGGGCGGAGCAGGTGGGGGAATGGTCGGGGGCTGTCGCTGCTGGAATGGCTGGGCGCCCGGCCTGCCTCGGTCCAGACACAGAACACCACCGGCAATAGGAGGCTTCCAGTGCCACTGCTGGAAGTCGGAGGCTTCCAGTCTCACCGTCGTCTTGTATGGCCAGTGTTTCTCTTCCCTGGCTGAATGCCTGCAAATGGGCATGCTCTTTCCACTGCACAATAATATTGCATGTTGGGAATACCCGCACTTTTATTCCCTTTGTTTTATTTTTATTTCCAAAATTTGCATCCCGCCTTTCTGGCCCTACCCTCTGCATACTATAAGAACAGTAACTGAAACCGTGGATCATTGAGGGAATGACCAAAAAAAGCAAGGGAGCATATTTGAAACCTCAGTTGTTTGGAGAGGAATTTGGACATGCATCCAGAGGGGCTTTCAGTGCTCCTGTCTTGAACTGTGGGGTAATAGAAATACCACAAAAGGACCACGGTTGTATCAGTTATGTTACTAAAGGTACAGCCCGTGTAAAAATGTATTCACAGTGTATATAGAAAAACGAGCTTATACCTTTTAATTTATTATTTGTGTTTATAGCCCGCCCATCCCGCGAGCGGGCTCAGGGCGGGTCACATCATAAAAACAGTACAATAAATGCAATTAAAATTAAACAAGTTAGGAATTCAAAACAATAATAAACATTAAAACTCAATCACAGTTCTGACAGTCACTGGTTGTACAGTTCTTTAGCATATCATTTGGGTTAATAGATGGATCGGTAAGACAGCCACCCCAACATTTTTATACTTCTATTTCTATTTTTACAGCAAAATAGATGTACCGTCTATAAACATGTAGATTTTACACCCCACAAAAACAGTAAGTTACATTCAAAATTCACAGGTTACAAAATTCACTGGGTTACAAAATGATACAGAAGTCTTGAGGATGACAAGAATGTAGGAAAACCGCAAGACTACGGGAACTGGTATAACCTCATTTCTGTTGCCTTCTTCGGGTCTTACAGCATCAAGAGAAGAAAATGTACAATTCTATTTTTGTTTTCAGTTTGTTGTTACACAATGTAAGTTGCAAGCAGTGTTCCCTCTAAGCTGAGTTAATGTGAGCTAGCTCACAGTTTTTTAGCCTCCGGCTCACACATTTTTGTCTCAGCTCAGGAAGGAGGGGTCCAGAGCAAACTAATTTATGTATTAGCCAAATTGCTTGCTCACAACTTTAATGCTGGTAGCTCACAAAGTAGAATTTTTGCTCACAAGACTCCACAGCTTAGAGGGAACATTGGTTGCAAGTATTTTCTTCAGATACAGCTAACAGGTGTTGGAGGGAATCGCCAATCAAATTTTCAAAGGCGACATACAGCCTAAATCCCAACAACAATCGAGTTGTAAATATCTTCTTTTGATGCTCTAAGACCTGAGGAAGGCCAGTTCTCGTAGTCTTGCAGTTTTCGTACGTTCTTTTTTTTAATTTATAATTTTTATTTAAGAATTTAATAACAATACAAGGTAAGTACAATAGATGTCTGCAGATGAAGTACAAAAATATGTTAGCAAAAACATTAATGCTTAACTGTGTCCAGGCTGAAGACGCAAGAGAACTGTTACACACTACAAAACATCTCTTAAGGCAACCATCGTATAATAAATATGTATCTTTACAGGCAAATTTTAAATAATTGTTCTGAAAATAACTTCAGATGTTATCTTAGATCTAAGCCAAATAATGTTTCAGGTTCAAGTTTCAATAGTATACCATTGATTTGTATAAAGGACTTGCTGGAATTACATCAGATTCAACCAAATAATTAATGAGTGAATACCAGGATGCTATAAATTTTTCCCCAAAGTTGCTGGAGGAGAGATTTTCCTACAATTTTTGTTGTCCTCAAGATTCCTATACCTGTGGGGTAATTGTGAATTTTGAATGTAATTTACTTGTTTTTGTTGTGTGTAAAATTCACATCTTTATAGACAGTAAAGGTAAAGGTTTCCCTTGCTCAAAAGCCAGTCGAGTCCGACTCTAGGGTTGCGGTGCTCATCTCCGTTTCAAAGCCGAAGAGCCAGCGCTGTCCGAAGACGTTTCCGTGGTCATGTGGCCGGCATGACTAAACACCAAGGCACATGGAACGCTGTGACCTTCCCACCGAAGTGGTACCTATTTATCTACTTGCAACTTCTTGCTTTCGAACTGCTAGGTTGGCAGGAGCTGTAACTAGAGACGGGAGCTCACTCCGTCATGCGGCACACTCGGGTCTCGAACTGCTGAACTACTGACCTTCCACAGCCTGCAGTTCAGCGTCTTAACCACTTGAGCCATCGCAGCTCCTTTATAGACAGTACCTATATAGAAATTTATAAGCTTGTTTTTCTATATACGTTGTGAATACATTTTTACACGGTGCTGTAGCTTTGAACTGTGGAGTGGCATGAAAGGTAGCTTATGCGCCTGAAGGCCCAATGCTGGCTTTTTAGCCCTCCACCGATTCTCCAGGGCTTCCAACTCAAGAGAGGCCTTCCCCAGCCCTGGTGATGCCAGGGATTGACCCCGGGGCCACCAACCAATGGGCCCTGCCCTCTCTTAATTGCCGTTTCCCATCATTTTATGGGAGTTGGCCCTGGGGGAGGAGAGAAGTGCAGAGTGAGTTTTAGGCTGCCCCGTAAAAGGGGCCCAATTCATACCGTAGTATTCCCCGTGACTATGTCGTTGGACAACAGAGAAAGTGGACAGGAAGAAACAGGCCTGTAGCCGGGATTTTCTAATTTGGGGGGCCTTTAAATTAGTCGGGGGGCACCCTGCTTAGACACCCACACACACACACACACACCCCGGGAGCGCCACAAATAAAATGAAAAATTGGAAGTCAGTGGGCCGGGCCCCAAGAGGCCCCACCGTAGCTACAGGCCTGGGAAGAAGGCTGATGCATTTCAAATGTGGAGTCGGATGAGAGCTCTAGGGATAACCGCGGACTGCCAGAGAGACAGATCAGTGGGCCCGAGACCAAACCAAGCCTGAACTCTGTCCCTGGAAGGTAAAAGGACTCAGCTGAGGCTGTCGTACTTTGGTCACCTTATGAGAAGACAAGAGTCGCCGGGAAAGACAACCACGCTAGGAGGAGAGGAAGGCAGAAGAAAAAGAGGAGGACCGAAACTGAGATGGATGGACTCGGTCCAGGAAGCCACAATGGCCCTCGTTTTGCAAGACCCGAGCGAGGCTGTGAGCGACGGGGCCTTTTGGAGGACATTCATTCATGGGGTCGGCATAGGCCGCAAGTGACTTGATGGCACTGAACACGCACACCGTTTGGGGGAGCTGTGGAGTAGCGGTCTTCCTGTTCAGTTAAGATCTGCGCTGAGTACCCAGAGGCCTCTGGGAAAACCAGCACCCACAAACCAATTCAGAAGGGGGGGTGGCGTTCTCGGTCTTCGACTGGGAGAAGCTCCCAGGCGACAGCTCGGGAACCCCTTTCTCATGAGTTGCTTCTTCCTTGCTGAAAAACTGTTTTTGTTTGTTTGTTTGTTTTGGTCCTTCCTCTCCCCCGCCCCACCTGCAGACCTTCTGCCGCTGGCTGGAGAACTCACTGAAGGGCTTACCAAAGGAAACATCGGGGGGAGCCATGCAGGTGACGCACAAGCAGCTGACGGACTTCCACAAGCAGGTCACGAGGTCAGCTGGGGGCCGGTTTGCAAAATCTGAGGGAGAAGGAGGGGGGGGGTCCAGGGAACAGCCCCCAGGGAACAGGCACACGGGGCCTGACAGGCCGCCTCCCGGTCTCCCACCTCTCCTGGGGATGGGCGCTGGAAAGAGGAGAAGCCGGCGTCCCACTCTGAGCCTTCTTAAAACCAGGTGGAAACCCAGGGGTGGTCCCCCCCCCCAACCTGCACTGATGGTCTTAATGGCCCCTGAGCGGCTTGGCAGTTGTTTGGTCGCATTGGCCGCCTGCGGCCCAGTTGGGTGCCACCTTCCAGGCGGGCAACCATAAAGAAACACTGCGGTAGAACAAAACACACTTCTACTAATACGTACTTGTATCTTCATATATCGATTTACTTGCAATAAAGACTTGATTCCCCACTCCTCCACTTGCAGCTGCTGGATGACCTTGGGCAAGCCATAATTCTGACAGGAGCTGTTCTTGAAAAAAAGCAGTTTCTGTCAGAGCTCTCCCAACCCCACCGACCTCACAGGGTGTCTGTTGTGGGGAAGGGAAGAGAGAGGAGTTTGTAAGCCACTCTGAGACACCTTTGGGTAGTGAAGGGTGGGGTATAAATCCAGTCTCCTCCTCCTCCTTCTCTTCCGCTTCTTCCTCCTCCTCCTCCTCCTCCTCTTCTTTTTCCTCTTCTTCTTCAGTTTGGTGTGGGGGTTAAGTGCGCGGACTCTAATCTGGGAGAACCGGGTTTGATTCCCCGCACCTCCACTTGCACCTGGCTGGATGACCTTGGGCAGGCCATAGCTCTGACAAGAGCTGTCCTTGAAAGGGCAGTTTCTGTCAGAGTTCTTTCAGCCCCGCCTACTTCACAGAGTGCAGGGGCGGCTTAAGTGCCCTAAGCGCTGACCAGTCTTGGTGCCCCCCCCCCTTTCCACACTGACCCCCAGTCCATTTTAGTTGTTGACCTGTCTGACCAGATCTACAGTGCAGGTTGCAGCAATGCAAACATTTATTCCGATGATAACACAATAGACTGTACAAACTCAGCTTTTCACCCTTTTCCCAACTTTGTGGTGCCCCCTTTGGCCCCGGTGCCCTAAGCACCTGCTCAGTCTGCTTCATGGTTCATCTGCCCCTGACAGGGTGTCTGTTGTGGGGAGGGGGAGGGAAAGGAGACTGTAAGCCGCTCCGAGACTCAGTGAAGGGCAGGGTCTAAATCCAGTCTCCTCCTCCTCCTCCTTCTTCCCCCTCCCCTCGGTCCCTCGCCTCTCTTTAACCACGCCCTCCTGTCTTTTGAGTCTGCCAGGAAGGGGTGCTCTCCCTCTCAGAAGCGAGAGGAGAAATGGCTCAGTGGAAGGGTCAAAGGAGCAAATGGGGAAGGCAGTTCTGTCGTTGTGCAGCCATCGGGGCTGGGGGTGGGTGGGGTGGCGCTGGGGCAGAGGGAACAGTCCTAGGTGGCCGGCCTCCCCCAAGTAGCTGGCGATGTCCTGCCAGCCGGGCTCTGCCTCGGCTCGAAAGCTGCACCCCGTTGAATCCCAGTCGGCAAAGCCCAGTCCAGTCCTTACAAAACTGTCCCACCTGTAGCGTCGGGGGAGCAGCGTTATGTGCTGAAGAGGAGTCCAAAGGTGGGGAAGTATTTTCACTGACTCTGGTGAGCAGGGTTCCCTCTTAAGCTGAGTTAGTGTGAGCCGGCTCTCAGTTTTCTTAGCCTCCAGCTCAGGCGTTTTTGTCCCGGCTCAGGAAGAGGATGGCGCCAGAGCAAACGAATTCATGCAGTAGCCAAACCGCTCTCTGACCGCTTTAAGGCTAGGGGCTCACAAAGTAGAATTTTTGCTCACAAGACTCCACGGCTTAGAGGGAGCGTTGCTGGCAAGGGGTGTTGGTGAAACGGCGCCAGCTCTCCCAACAAGGCATTGTGATGGGGGGGCAGACAGCAACCCCCACCCACCTACTCATCTCACCCGTTTTCCTGTTGCTGCCTCCCCCACCTCTGTCCCCACCAAGCCGCACTCACGCTTTGCCCCCTCCTGTGTTTGGGGCCCCGGGGAGGGAGGCAGATCTGTCCTGGGGGGCGAGGCCCACCAGGAAGTAGTTCTCCCAGGCAGGGTTCACGGGAATGAACGGAAGCGGTGCCCTGCAAAGCTCTCATTCCTTCCTGTGAGCCGGTGCAGAGGACATTCCTGGTGGGTGGCGCCCTGCACATGTGCACAAGGGAGTGGGTCCCCCCCCACCCCTCCGTCTGGGCCTGAGCGCCACCTGCTGGCAACCCGCTGCCTCTGTTCCAAAGCCTCCGCGTGTCGGGCACAGGGAACGCCAGAGCGGCCGCCCCTGCCCTGCGTGGAGGACTGGGGTATAATGTCCACAAAGAGCCCCGAAGGTTCCCAGGTCCAGCCGGCTCTTATCTGGGGGTCTGGCGTTCCCCTGTTCTCCGTCACCAGCAATGTTCCCTCCTGTGAGCAAAAATTTTACTTTGTGAGCCGCTGGCATTGAAGTTGTGAGCGAGCGATTTGGCTGCCGCATAAATCAGTTTGCTCCGGAGCCCTCCTTCCTGAGCTCAGACACAAATGTGTGAGCCGGAGGCTAAAGAACTGTGGGCTAGCTCACGCTAACTCAGCTTAGAGGGAACACTGGTCACCAGTCTGGTTTTTCTGGTCTTGCGCCTGCCGGGAGGGGAAAGCCGCAAGGGATGTCTGGGCCTGCTCTGCAGCCTCCACAGCCCGGCCGGCTCGGACATGTCAGGACCCGGCCGGGGCCCTCTCCGTACCCGTGGCCATGCCAGCCACCTGCAGACGGGAGTCCCTTCGCCGGTGGGTCTGAAGCAAGCCCCCGGGCTGACAGGCTGACGCCCAAAAGCCACCTTCGCCGGCAAGCGGCCTGCCCTCCCTGCCTTGACAGTTGGGGCTTTGCTCCCTAGCTCGGCGGAGCTGCGTCTGTCGGCGTGCCTGTTGAAGGCCCCTCTCCGGAGAAATCCTGGGGTGGTGGAAGCGGGCAGGAAGCCCCGACGGGCAAGGATTCCGGCCGTCTGCGTGCAGCTTTGCTCCGTGGGACAGCCCCCCCCGCACCCCTTAGTGGTGTAAATCTCTGACCGTGTACCGTGCTAGAGTCACCTTTGGGTGGTGCAGACCACGGCCCTTTCCTAAGTCTGCCTGGTGGTGTCCCCTGCATTAAAAACAGGAGAGGTGCTCTGCCAGGTCAGACCAGTGGCCCATCTAGTCACGGTTCTCAGAGAGCCAGTTTGGCGCGGTGGTTAGGAGGGCAGACTCTAATTTGGGAGAACCTGGTTTGATTCCCCACTCCTCCTCCACATACAGCTGCTGGTGAGGCCTTGGGTCAGTCACAAGTTCTCTCAGAGCTGTTCTCTCAAGGGCAGTTTCTGTCAAGAGCTCTCTCAGCCCCACCTACCTCATGGGGTGTTTGTTGTGGGGAGGGGGAGGGAAAGGTGTTTGTAAGCCGCTCTGAGACTCCTTTGGGTAGTGAAGGGCGGGGCAGAAATCCAATCTCCTCCTCCTCTTCTTCCCCACTCCTCCGCATGCAGCTGCTGGTGTGGCCTTGGGTCAGTCACAAGTTCTATCAGAGCTGTTCTTGAAAGAGCCGTTTCTGTCAAGAGCTCTCTCAGCCCCGCCTACCTCACAGGGTGGCTGTCTGTTGTGGGGAGGGGAAGGGAAAGGTCTTTGGAAGCCACTCTGAGACTCCTTCGGGTAGTGAAGGGCGGGGTATAAAACCAATCTCTCCTTCTTCTAGTCCTATTCTTCTCTGGGAATTCAATTTTTTAAAACCATCTCTGCTAGCGACTGCAGCTTGGGTCTGATTCAGAATGCGCGGAAGCAAACTTTCTGGTCTCTCTCCTCCCAGTGGAAAGCCCACTCCCCCTCCAAAAAATTGTGGCTTGGGGGAGAGGAGCAGCGAATGATTGAAAATAGCACGGTGGTCCGCCGTGGAGGAGGGGGCTAAAATCCCCTCCTTTTCTCTGGCAGGGACTCCTCTGGCCATCAGAAAACGTCGTTCAGATAAAGCCCGTCTCTTGTGTCTGTGAGTTCCACAGGTCCTGTACAGGTCCCGATTCCCACAATAGGGTTGCCCCGAGGCAGGCACAAGTGCAGAGTCCCGCGAGACGGGGCTTTGGCCTCTGCCAGCACTGCGGATTGGAGCCTTTGCTGTTTCCCTCCCCCGGACTGAGACACACACACCCCTCCTTCTTCTCCCCCCTGTCTTTAGCGCCGAGGAGTGCAAACAAGTTTGCTGGGCTCTGAGGGACTTCACCAGGCTGTTCCGGTAGCCTGCGCCGCCTTTGGTCCGCCTGTCTCCCAGGTGAGCAGAACCTCCCTCCCTGTTCCCGGGGCTTGGAGTTGGGGTGGGGGGGTGTCCGACGTCTGGCGAGAAGTTTCGCATTTGCTCACATTTTGGGGACGTTTCCCTCCTCCTTTTGTGTCGGGTCACTGAATTTGACTGTGTATGTTGGTTAGCCTGTGCTCATCCGTTTCAGAGGTAGCCTTGTCGTTGGAGGGGCAGGATTTAAGAGTCAGTTTGGTGTAGCAGTTAGGAGCGCGGACTCGAATCTGGGAGAACCGGGTTTGGCTCCCCACTCCGCCACATGCGGACAGCTGGGTGACCTTGGGTCAGTCGCACGTTCTCCCAGAGCTGTTCTCTCAGGAGCAGTCCTCAGAAGAGCTCTCTCAGCCCCACCCGCCTCACAGGGTGTCTGTTGTGGGGGAGGGGAAGGGAGAGGAGTTTGTAAGCTGCTCTGAGACTCCTTTGGGTAGTGAAGGGCGGGTTAGGGTTATAAATCCAATAGTTTCTTTTTCTTGAGTCCAGCACCAACTTAGCGACCGACAAGATTCTCCAGGTATGAGCTTCTGGAGAGTAAAAAATCCCGTCGTCCGCTCCAAGTAGGGAGTTTTGACTCTCAAAAGCTGATACCCTGAAAAATCTCGTTGGGCTCTGGGATGCAACTGGACTGGAATTTAGCTCTTGTGTGCTCATTATTCCTTTTCGCTGGATTGGTTGACTCTGTGACTTCGTCTGCAAACCTTTGGTGGCAGGGCACTATAGGAAACTGTCCGATGTTGAGACCCAGTGCATTGTGCCCAGCCCCACATCTTCTGAACCTGCTACTGAGTGATCGACTGCTGTGTGAGGCTCCCAAATGGCAGCACTGTGCAGACATCTCTGAAAGGTGCCCAGTTCTGTAAAACTGCCCTCTCCGGAGCCTGTGTTTTCTGCTTACAGTCGACTGAGTCCCACAAACCTGTTCCGCTAATGGGGTACTTTCCTTTCCTCCGGCACAATGGCTTTCTGCCAAGAGCTAACGGGAAGCGTCCCTGTTGACGGAACAGATCGACGCGATCCAGCCTGGAACTGGCCACTGATTTCGAGACTCGCTGAGCCGGGAAACTTGCCCTTTTGCCTTTTGGAGCTGACCCCCCCCCCCGGCCACTTATTTGGAGCCTCCCTGAGCCGGGAAACTTGCCCTTTTTCCTTTTCGAGCTGACCCCCCCCCCCGGACCCCTTTCCTCTCCCCCTCCGCAGGACTGTCTTATTTTCAGAAGAGGAAATAAAAACACAACCAAGACTCTGTTCCACACCCAGCAAACTTCATTGTGGCCGAGGGCTCTGACTCGCTCTGGAGTGTCCCGCCGAACCAGAAGAGACGCTTCGCCGCGAGATCGAGTCGGTGAAGTTCCTGCTTGTGAGTGAAAGAGAGAGAGAGGAGAAAAACTAAAAAAAAAAAAAAAAGGGGGGGGGGTTATCCGCGACGATCGATGGCTGCCGCCGACCTACGGCATCGCGGGGGGGAGAGGGGAGCTGCTTTCCAGATGGACTTGCTTTAAAAAAGAAAGAGAGAGAGAGAGAAAAAGAAAAAAAGTAATAAAATGTTTAAAAAAAAAAGAGCAAACCACGAAACAAGAGAAAACTAATTTTGCCTGGTAGCAAAGCGAGAAGAAAAAAAAAAAAAACCACCACAAAGGAAAAGTAGAAAACTTTCTGTGAAATGAAAACAAATTCCTTAAGGATCCGTGGGGATTAAAAAATCTAATCTGTCTAGCAAACCCAGAGTCTGCCCTGCAGTTGGGGGGCGGGGAAGGAAGGAAGGAAGGAAGGGGTCGAGCGCCTCTGGGTTTTTGGCAAGCTCCTTCCGGGTTCTCAGAGTTCTGCCTCTCCTCCCCCCCAAGTCCAAATGGAAAGATGGCTCGAAGCCGGTGGCTGCTGTGGGGCACGAAGTCTTGGCAGGGGGCAGGAGGAGGGTCGTCCTGCCCTTTGTTGCCCCGTCCCACCCCAAGAGAGGGTCTGCGAAACAGAGCGCTGCTCCTTTCCTACCCACAACCCGGGGGAGAGGGAGAGGGAGGACTCTGGAGAAGACAGGGGCAGGCGGGCCGCTTCGCCGATCCGATCCGGCTGCGACTCGGGTGTGGGGTGGGGGAGAGTCACGGGCCGTGCGCGGACGTCAAGACAGGAGGGGGTGCTGTTCCGTCTGGTGTTGTAGCCATCTCGAGAACAAGGAGAGACAAAAAACCACACACACACACACACACACACACAAAGAAATAAAAACCGATTAAAAAAGTTTAAAAACCGGCCCCCGTGCCCGTCTCGTTCTTGTCTCTGCCTTCCCGGGACTCCTCGTGTCGGAGGGCTGGTGTGGCACAGGAGTTAGGGATCACGACCTGGGCGGACCAGCCTCGAACCCCTCGTTCCGCCCTGGAAGCCGCCGGGTGACCTCAGGCCCGGCACAAGCTCTCAGCGTAGCCTCTGCCCCCTCGCAAGGTGGTCGTGGCGAGCGTGAAGCGAAAGGTGGGAATGATGTGAAAAGCCACGGCGAGTCCCGGGCGAGGAAGGAAAGGGTAAAAAGTCAAGGTTTCCCTGGCTCGAAAGCCAGTCGAATCTGACTCCAGGGGGCGGCACTCATCTCCGTCTCCAAGCCGAAGAGCCAGCGCTGTCCGAAGACATCTCCGTGGTCACGTGGCCGGCAGGATTAGATGCTGGGGCGCACGGAACGCTGTTCCCTTCCCACAAGCCCTTTTCTGCGGCCAGGGCAGTGTGGGTTGTGTGTCTGAAAGGTTACGATGAAGCCTGGTGCACAAGCTGTTCCCACAGGAAGCCCCTCGATGAGTTTGCCCCCTCTTCCCTGCCTCGGTAGTAGAGCGCCTGGCTCGCCTGGAGGGGCTCCTCCTAGGAGAGTTTGGGGAGGGGGGGATGTTGGAGTGCCTCTGCCAGAAAGGGTAGCCAGCAGTGTTCCCCCTAAGCTGAGTTAGTGTGAGCCAGCTCACACTTCTTTAGCCTCCAGCTCACAGATTTTTGCTTCAGCTCAGGAAGGATGGGCTCCAGAGCAAACTGAATTATGCAGTGGCCAAATCGCCCGCTCACAACTTTGATGCCAGGAGCCCACAAAGTAGAATTCTTGCTCATAAGACTCCACAGCTTAGAGGGAGCGTTGGTAAGCCAGTCCTGGGCCGGCGAGCTGATTTTGCCCTTCCCGGAAGGCTCCTGCGGGTGTCCCCCGTAGGGGAGGGGGCGGGCTTTAGCCAGAGAGCCTGGCCACGATCCCGGCTGCCCTGAAGCTTCCTGGGTGGTGGGCCCTGTCTCTCTGCTTAAGCTACTTCAGAGGGCTGTTATGAAAATGAAATATGGGGTGGAGGGAGAATCCTATGCAAAGTGAAGGAAAAGAGCTAATTTGGGGACCCGGGAAGGAAGCTGGCTCGCCACAGGGCCTTCTGGGGGGTGGGAGGGAGAAGGGGAGTTGGGCGGAGAGAGAACCAGAACCCCACTTGACGCCTCTTTGCCTCTTTCCCATGACATCGCTGGTCGAAATGGAGGCTGTTCTTTGTACTCGAGGAGGAGGAACCGCTTTGTCCAGGGAGCGGCTTTCTGTCTCTGCAGTGACGGGGTGGAAGGTATTTACTCAGAGTAATCCCAAAGTAGCTGATTCTCCCATCTGGCCTTGTTCTCCATATCCTCTACCCCTCTTTCCTAGCTTGGCCAGTACAAGGAATCCCCCTGGCTTCCTTTTTTTTTTTTAAGGGAAAGAAGAATTTCCACACTGGCCGAGCCCTTTCATCCTGCTTCCCTCCCTGCCCGTGGGGAAAACTCTGCCGTTTGCTTTCAGACATTACCACAGGCTCTGAAGGTGGCAGCTCAGAGGAGCCAATCCGGGGCCCGGGGTGTGAAAGTAGAACCAGGCTGTGCTATAGAACAGCCGTTTCTGTCACTGGGATTATTTAATCCCCGATAGCAGCTGTGTTGGGTCTACAGTGGGACCAGTGTTCCTTCTAAACTGAGTTACTGTGAGCTAGCTCACAGTTTTTTAGCCTCTGGCTCACACACTTTTGTCCCAGCTCAGGAAGGAGGGCTCCAGAGCAAGCTAATTTATGCAGCAGCCAAATCGCTCGCTCACGACTTTAGTGCCAGGAGCTCACAAAGTAGGATTTTTGCTCACAGGATTCCACAGCTTAGAGGGAGCACTGAGTGGGACAGCGCAATTCGCATCCAAAAGCACCTTGGAGACCAATGAGATTTTGGGGTTAGGAATTTTTGTGAATCAAAGCACTCTCTGTGTCAAGTACCCGGTTTAAACAGTTTCAACTTGTAATGGAACTTGGCACTGCAGAGTGGGTGGGTGGGTGG